TGTTGTCGCCGACGTCGATGTCGGCGATATCGATCGAGACGATCTCGAACGCCGTCTGCGAGTCGAGCCGACGGGCGAGCACCGCCTTGGAAATCCGGTCGGGATTCTCCAGCACGTCCTTATGCCGCTCCGAAGAACCGATCGCCGAGACGATCCCCTCGCCGACGCGGGCGACGATCGTCTCCTCGGTGGCGCCGCCGATGAGCTGCTTGAGGTTGGTGCGGACGGTGACGCGGGCGCGGACCTTCACCTCGACGCCGTTCTTCGCCACGGCGCTGAGGGTCGATCGCGGCGACTTCTCCGGGTCGGGGCAGTCGATCACCTTCGGATAGACGCTGGTCTTCACGGCGTCGAGCACGTCGCGGCCGGCGAGGTCGATCGCCGCGGCGCGGTCGAAGTCGAGGTCGATATCGGCCCGGTGGGCGGCGATGATCGCGCTGATGACCCGCGGCACGTTGCCGCCGGCGAGGTAGTGGGCCTCGAGCCGCTTGGTCGTGATGCCCGAGGTTGGGTCCTGCCCGACGCCGGCCTGCATCGCCTGGATGCGGGCGTCGACGATCGTCTTCGCATGGACTTGGCGCAGGCTCATGAACACCAGGTCGAACGGGTTCATCGGGACGTTCGACATGAACGCCTGCAGCCAGACGCGCCCGTAGTTGAGCAAGAAGAACGCCAGCAGGAGCGCGGCGCCGATGATGACGACGACCAGGACCGCCTGCACGAAGAGATTCTCGGCCAGACCCTGGGCGAGAAGCGGAGCGGCCTGAGCAGCAAGGGGGGCAGCGGTGAGCGGGTTGGCAGCGAAGAGGGGAGTCATCACGCGGCGATTCCGGTAGGTGCGGTTGGCAGCTGCGGGAGATTGTAGCCGCTCGGGCGGCGAGTGGAGAGGTTCCGGGGCGGCGTTAACCCCTCACGGTGCGTCTGAGCCGGGACGCTAGCCCTCGGTGGGTAGCTGGTACCCGAATCCCACCGAGGGCTAGCGCCCCCGGCTCAGACGTTCTCAATTGGCGAGGATTACTCGAACTGGGTAGCCCCCGGGAACTTTACCGGGCCGGGGCGGTCCTGGTAGTTCGGCAGCTCGCCGGCGATCTTGGCGGCCGTGCGGGCGCCGCTGCGGTCGGGGGTTTCGTCGCTGAGCTCGGGGACCTCGCACTTCTCGCCCTTTTGGAGGTAGAGCGTCTGCGTCGGGAAAGCGAACGAGACGCCGAGCTCCGCCGCCAGCCGGAGGACGTCGGCCAGCAGCCGGTGCCGCTCGCGCAGCTCCGTGGCGTAGTCGGGCACTTCGAAGAAGACCAGCAGCTGGATGTCGAGCGAGTTGGCGCCGAAGTTGTGCAGGTACGCCGCGTAGAAGTCCTTGCGGGTGTGGGGGTGCCGGCGGATGAGCTCACGGATGCCCTCGCAGAAGGCTTCGATCCGCTCGGGCGTGGTGCTGTACTCGACGCCCAACCACGTCAGGTAGCGGCGGTACTTGCGGCGGCCGAGGTTGTCGATGCTCGACGACGCCAGCTTGCTGTTGGGGAGCGTCACCTCCGAGTCGAGCGGGGTGCGTATCCGAGTGCTGCGGAAGCCGAGGGATTCAATGGAACCCTCCACGTTGTCGATCTTTACGTAGTCGCCGACCTCGAAGGGCCGATCGAAGAGGAGCGTGATCGAGCCGACGAAGTTCGAGAGCGTCTCTTGGCTCGCCAAGGCGATCGCGATACCGCCGATGCCCAGACCGCCGAGCAAGGTGGAAGGGAGTTCATCGCTGAAGGTCGCGATCGTGGCGATCACGCCAACCACGCCAATCGCGATCTTGGCGGTAGAGTTCGCCAGCGGAATGAAGAGGTTATCGAACTGTCGGCTGCTTCTCTTCGCGCGGCGGGTGAAATAATCACCGACCAGGTCCAGCACGCGGAAGAGCGCGAGCACGGCGGCGACGATGGTCACGATCACCAACCCATTTAGCAGGATGCTCGTAAGGGTGGGCGACAACTCAATAAACCGCGCCCCAAACACCCAGACCGCGGCGTTGGCGAGGCGGCCGACCGGTTGCCAAACGCCGGCGGTGGTTTTGTGCTCTTCGACGAAATCGGGGTCGATCCGAAACAGGAGCATGTCGCCGATCCAGGTCATCACCCTCCGCGTCAGCCAGTCGGCGAGCCAGCCTAGCGGGATGAACGCGGCGAGCAGCAACCACTGGTAGGTCGGCAGCAAGAAGTGCGTTGTCCGCCAACTCTGTGGGAACTGCTTGCGGACCCAGACGCCGAAGGTCTCGGTCGGTTCGGTTTCGGTCGCGGTCGTGTCGCCATTGGCGGCAGTCAACTCGGCGCGCTTCTCGGCGAGTTCGTCGATCCGCTTCTCGAACTGCTCGTAGAGGGGGTCGATGACAGCGACCGTCTCGGCGCTAAACCGCCAGCGGCCGACGCCGTCGCGCGCGATGGTGATCTGCTCGGCTTCCGGGGCCGAGTAGAGAAGCCAATTCTCCAGCGACCACGACTGCTCGTAGTCGGGGTTGGACTCCGCCTTCTCGAAATCGACCTTGGCCGAAGAGCCTTCTTTTTGAAGGTACCAGGGGTTGATCTCGCTCTCGCCGCCCTGGGTTGGCGGGTCGCCGACCGCGGGGATCAGGCGGAAGAGCTTGTAAGCAAGGTCGGCGCCGCGGCTGTCGGCGGCGACGGCGCTCAGTTGCGAGAGGTCGAGCAGCTCGGCGGCGGACGATTTCTCGTTCGCCTGCATGCGTTTCACAAAGGCCTCCAGCGCCGCCTGAGGCGTTAGCATCTCGGCGGGGACCTCGGGCTCGGC